GCCTGGCCTGTGGTGGGGGTGGGGGCGAGCTCCTGGCCTTGGAATACCTGCCGCGCTGTCAGGTGGAAGAGGGGTGGGGGCGAGCCCCTGGCAGGGCGGGTGGGGGCAGGGGCGGGGGCTGGGAGGCCGCTGGAAAGAAGCGGCTGGCAGGGAAGGAGCACGCACAACCTGAGCGTCTGAGGAAGGTGAAGCTGAGGTCTGCCCCACTCCAGGAGGTGTGAGCTGTGAGAGCCCCTGCGTGGCCCAGTTCCTCACCCGCCTCAATGGAAGCCTTCAGCTCCAGGAAGTCAGGGAGGGCCGGGCTTGATTCCCGGCCCCCAACACCGGCAGGCAGAAGGCTTACCACTGGCAAGAACCCCAGCCAGTGACTGCTCTGGGGGTTCTGGCCCCTGTGTCAATTCTTTGGGTTCAGGTCCCTGTCTGTTTCTAGCCTGGAGTGCAAATTGAGAGGTATCAGACTCACATGATTGTTTGCACACACTCTTGTGAGAGGATGGTTCGTCCCCGCCGGCTGACTCCTGGGTAGTGCTGCTAATGGTGGCTCCTCTAGGCCTTTAGGTCCGATCATACACACCTTAGAACCCTTGATGGCTCCTTATCACCAACACTTCTACACAGTGGCCAATGCCCTTGGCAAGCTGTGCCTCCAGTTCCAATCTCCCTTCCTTGTGCTTCCCCCTTAAACACACCTCCTCCTGCCCGCCTCCCCGGTCTGCCCTGGGGCCTCTGCGCTTGGCCTTCCAGCTGCCTGGCATGCCTTTCCTCCCCTTTGACTTAGAGGTCTGCATAGCCTTCAAGACCAGCTCAAGGCTCTGAGCAGAAGACAAATCTGAGGAGTTAGGCCAGACACTAGTGCACACCTTTTCCAACTCTCCCTTTCACAAATTCATTCATTCAGCACACATGTCCTGAGTACCTACTCCGTGCCTGGGAGTGAGGGGAGGCTCCGGGGAGCCTGAAGGGTGCAGCGGGGTGGAGCCCGTGGGCGCCCCAGGAGCACCATACTCCAGCGCAAGGAACAGGAGAGGCTCCCAGAGCTGGGGCACCTGAGGGGATTCCTGGAGACAGGCAGCTGTCAGGGGCGGGAGGTTGTACTTGTGTTCTGAACCTACAAACTGGGAAGACAGACTTTTAATCCTGGGATTTCTACTGGCGTCAACAGTATGTAGTGGTGTGAGGCCCAGCTTGGGGTGGGCATCAGTGAATTTTTCCAGAACTTGAATGGAGGAGAAAAGTGGTGCTAGGGGCTGAGGGTCTGCCCCCTAATTGGGGTTTCCCTTCCTCCTTCCAGTCCTGCCTTAACCCCCCAGGGGGTAACGGTAACCCTGAGTATGGCACACCTACATGTGGCCAGCACGGGGCTGGGCCCATCTTTTCATTGAATCCTGTGAGTCGTGCCCCTGTCCATTCCTAACGGGTGAACAGAGGCTTCAGGAAGTGGAGCGGCTCCACTCCTCCAGGCTCATGCAGTAGCCAGGAGTGGAACTCAGCTGTCCGCCTGAGGGGGAGCTCACTGCAGACTCAGCTGCCCCTCTGTTCCAAGGGTTTGAGTCGTGCTCCCTCGGTAGACGTGAAGCTCCTGGAGACCAGGGGCCGCCTCCCTGCTGTTTCCTCCACACACTTCCCACGGGTCTGGATACACAAAAGCGATCCTGGGAGCTTATCTTGCTCAACGGTTGTATAAGAGCAAAAGGGAAAATTGAGACTCAGATGGGGCAGTGGTGTGGCCAAGGTCACACAGCACACCACATAGGAGAGCTGCCTCCTATGGTTCTGACCATGTCTGGGAAAGCGGGGGGACAGGGAGGAGGCCCTGGCGCCACTACTCCCTGGAATCTAGTCCCACTTCTTCATCCCTGCAGTCCAGCACCTCTCTCTGCCCCAAGCAAGCTCATTGTTCCTCACCTGGGCGGTGCACAGCCTTGCGGCCGCCCCTGCCAAGCCTACCTGTTACACTCGCGCTCCTCAGCGCTCCTCATTTCCTGAGACAAAGCTGACTGTCTCTGGCCTTGTGTGGCCTGGGTTTGTGTCTGCTGTGTCTGTTCTTATCCTTCCCCGTCCCCAGTGCCACCAGCCAGTCTAGTGTGCTTCCTAGAGTTCACAGCATGGACTCTCTTGCTTCAAGCCGCGCACTCTGACACACACACCCTACCTCCACACATACCCCACACCCACCTCCCACTGTTGGAATCTCCTGGGCGCCTGTGTTCCAGGATCTTACAATTAACAGTCACGCCTACTTCCCCAGCCAGTTTTGCCACGCCCTAATCTCCTGTGTCACCCCTGCTGGTATTACCCTTCTTCTTTTGCCAAGGTCCAGCCTTCAGGGGGCTAGACCAGGCCTCCCCTGTCCTGGGGAAGCCGAGATGAGGTGGCCTCGGGCCCTCAGCTTCCCTCTGTCATAACTCTGATGACCCTGAGATTATCAGATTAGTTTATACCTAGTGCTACAGACAAGGACCGTCTAACAGAAGTCTAATGTGAGCTACAGATGCAATGTAAACTTTTCTGGAAGTCACATTCAAAGAGTAAAATGAAACAGGTAAACAACTAGTGTATCCAATGCATTATCCAGTGATCAATATAGAAATAAATGAAAATTGTATCATTAATATTAATTAGGTATTTCATACTCTTTTTTAGATGATGTCATTGAAATCCATAAACACTACGGTGTGTACTTACAGCACATCTCAGTTTGAACTAGTCACGCTTCAATTGCTCTATAGCCATGTGTGGCAAGTGGCTGCCAGAGTGAATCGTGAGCATCTTAAAGCCAGAGCTCATCTCTGACCCCAGACCCCAGCCATGCTTGGCCCAGGCAAGAGCAGCGTAAGATGGTGCTGAAGACCTGGGCTGGGGCTCAGCTTGGTCGCTTAAGTGCTGTGTCATTGGCTGATCCAAGCTGGCCTCAGCCCCTGATCTGTAAAGTGGGTACACATCTTCAATATGGCTCAGTTTACAGATTTTTACAGATACAAACCGAAGACAAGGGAGGAGGACCAGCCTGGCTACTGAGTGCACAGAATATGTGGGAACCTGCGCTCCTTCCTCCAGATCCTTCTTCCTAGCCTCCTGCCCTGAAAGAGTTTGGGGCCTGGACCTGTGCTCATACCTCTGTCTGCAGTGGGGGAAGGAGGCGAGAGCCTTGCTGTGCTCCAAGGCTGGCAGCTCCTGGGGTTAAGGCTGGAGAGTCAGGTGTGGGGGCTGTAATGTGCTGGGGGAATCATGGTGTGTAGACTGGCACTTGGGGGACTGGGACAGCAGAGGAGGGGAGGGTGAGTGTAAGGCCAGGCTGCTGTGGGTGTCATTTGCTGCTGCCACTGCCTGAACTCTGGAGCCCAGGAGCTGTGTGCCAGGGGCTGGGGCCCAAGTCTGCTCAGGCCGTGAGGACCTGTCAGGTCGAGGAGGCCTGGCTGCTACCCCTCTTCTTCTCCTCATGCCTTTTTGCTCTGGGACCTTGTCCTCCTAGGGACCCCTTTACACTGCCACCCCAGTCTGGGTACTGAGGTGTATTGTCCCCTCCAGAAAGAGTGCATGGAGGTTTATCTCCCTCACAGCACAGGGCTAGGTACAGACAGGGCCTCGATTTGGAGACTGGGCTGACCCATGAAGAGGTCAACACAGTATCTGAAGTAGCTGCAGGAGCCCCAGAAGCCAGTATCTCTGCAGCGCCTTTGGGAGCAGGTGGGCCCAAGCTGAAAAGCCCAGGTGGGGTCTGGACAAGGGCAGAGGAGAAGCAGGGATTCTGGGCTGGGGAGTGGTGTGGTAGATAACGTTTACTGAGCATTCGGTGTGAGCGTGTGCATCTCACTGGGCCCTTATCTCCCCGTTAGCACCCCGAGGACAGGGAAGAAGCTGAGGTTAGGACTGAGCCTGGTACCTTACTGACTTCTCAGCGGAGCGTGAGTTTAGACACATGCAGATGGGAGGCTGAGGCTCGGCGAGGTCAGAGCTGCCACGGGGTGGAGGTGGGACTCCAGCTGGGCTGTGGGACCTCAGAGTCACCACTTCCCATGCCCCAGAAACATTGTCTAAGTCCCTGGAACAAGAACTCAGACCCCCAACCCTGAGCCAAGCCCAGGCCTGTGGGGATGCTGGGACCGGGTCTCCCCGGCATCCTCTTCAGGCAGCACCTTGCTCCCGCTGTAGCTGGGGACCATGCTGGGGAGCGGCCTCCTGCAGGTGGCAGCTGGCATGTGAGCACATTAGGTGCCAGGGAGGGCAGCTGAGCATGTAAACACCAGGAATGGGATGTGAGAGGTCGTGGGGACCTCCTCTGCCAGGTCTGTGCTTGGCCTATGCCCAAACACCAAGAGTACTCACAGCCCGGGGTGTGAGTGACACCCCTGAGCATTCCCAGTCCAACTAACGCTGAGCTCTGAGCCCTCTCAGAACCCTCCCTGTGTCGGACCCCTGGAGATGGTTCCCGGAAAAGACTTGCAGACTGCACATGAGAGTGGAAGAACGGCAGAAGCAGCAGCCTATGCAGAGGCACGGAGGGAAGACCCACTGTCCTGTAAAATGGGATGGCTGGGAGAGGACAGTGGGCAGTCTGCAGTCCCAGAGTGGCAAGCTGAAGCGCTGGGACACACCTGCTGGTGCTGACCCTCTCTGGTCTGTGTGTGCTGCAGGAGGAACAAGGACTCCCTGCACTGCTTGTACGAGGCACAGGAGCTTAGTCCAAGTCCTGCCTCAGCTTCTCCTTCTGTGAAATGGGGGTATAGGTTCCATGGGACCCAGCCTGAAGAGGGTTGTGGAAGCTTCTGCAGACCTACCTAGGGAGGTTTCACCCCACCCTGCAGAGGGCACTCCTGATATGGGCCCAGCGGGTACAGAAATCAGCAGGCAGCAGGGTACTGAGGGTGGGGTCCAGGGTGTGTGCTGCCTGTGACCCGCAGGCCCTGTCATGACTTTTGAGGGCCCTGGTTGTGTGTCCAGTGTACCTAACCAGTTAAGTTGGCCCTGGTGCCGGGAGACCTGACTGGAGCCTCTTGCAGGCACCATGGCCCGGAGCAGGGCACTGCTGCTGCTCTTGCTGCTGCCGCCACAGCTGCGCCTGGGACCTGTGATCGCTGTGAGGCCCCCGGGGTTTGGCCAGGGTGGGGCCCACAGCCCAAGCCCTGAGGAGAACGAGTTTGTGGAGGAGGAGCCTGTGCTGGTCCTGAGCCCCGAGGAGCCAAGACCCGGCCCTGCCACCATTGACTGCCCCCGGGACTGCGCCTGCTCCCAGGAGGGCGTCGTGGACTGTGGCGGCATCGACCTGCGTGAGTTCCCAGGGGACCTACCTGAGCACACCAATCACCTGTCCCTGCAGGTGAGGCTGATGTTGCGCCAGCGGTCACCAGGGGCTGCTCTCTGCACTCCAGGCTCCCTTCCCAGAACTCCAGGACTTGTGGCCCCTCATCCCCATGTTGGGGGCTGAGCAGGTCTGATCTGGGGAGCCCTGCTGGTAGTCTGGCCACAGAGCACTGGAACAGCATAGTTTGCTTATTCACCAAGACGGGGGTGGGCTCAGTCTAATGACCGACCCGGATGCACCTGTCGGCAGCTGATCCTCTCTCTGAACACAGGGTACAGAGCCGGGAAAATCAGAGCTAACCAACCGACTCAAGTACTTGGGGCCTTCAAACACAGAAAACCCTCCCCTCAAGAAGTGGGTCTGGCCTCCCAGACTGGGTGGACTAGGGGGCATCTGGGCAGTCCTCAGAGTCCTCAGGGAGGGAGAGGACCTGCCATACCCTTTCCAGAGGAGATCAGGTCCAGTGACTCTCCAAAGGTCACGCAGCACTGTCTGGGAGCCTGGGCTAGGCTTGCCCATGGGAGGAAGGAACGTGAGGACAGCTGTGATAAAGTTCACTGGCCCATATATTCATATACAGACTGTCTCCTGGACATCTGCCCAATGCCTCTGGTCCTTTGTGGGGTGCTGGGGATTTTGGGAGGAGTTGGACACACCCTGCCCATCAGGTGCTTCCAGTCTGTGGCTATCCACATGTTGGCTCCTTGAAGGTAGGACTCAGATCTTTGTGGCCACTGCTTTGCCCCCAGTATCCAGGGCCTGACTGTCATGGAGGAGACTCCTGAGGCAGGTACCCAAGACAGGAACAAGTCCCTAGGACTGGCGCTGAGGGCAGATATATCTCTCCCACCTCCCACTGACGCTGCTTCCTCATTGCTCTAGAACAACCAGCTGGAGAAGATCTACCCCGAGGAACTCTCCCGACTGCAGTGGCTAGAGACTCTGAACCTCCAGAACAACCGCCTGACCTCCCGAGGTGAGGGGTCGCCAGAGCCAGGGGACACCAGGTAGAGACTCGGGGGCCTGAATGGTGCCAGGCACCCAAGGGGATGTCTTGGCTCTGTAGATCCGGGAGTGTGGGAATGCAGGCCTGGGCTGGCTGGCCATGGGGCTGCATGAGGACTGGCTCTACACGTCGCAAGGGTTCCCTGAAGCTGTCCAGACCAGCCCTGGATGTCGCCGGCCCTGAGTGTCCCGAGACCTTACCATAGATAGTTCAGGTCACAGGGGCTTTAGAATCAGACAGCTGGAGACCTCAAACTTAAATTTTTTCTGATGGCAAAAATAGTATATTAAGATAGAAAATTAGGAAAATAGGATGGAAAGAAAAAGCTCATAATGCTGCTGCTTTGAATTAATCATTGACGTTTGGTATATTTCTTTCCACTCTTTGAAAAAGCGGCTCTACTGAGGGGTGACTTATATTACAGTTTGATGAGTTCTTGTAAGTTTATACAGTTATACAACCACCATCAAGACAATTCAGTCCAGTCATTTTTTTCTTAGTAGTTTTACATTCATAGCTAAACTTACCCCCAGATGGATAACCTGCATGGTTTCACTAAGCAGTTCACTCCTGGGGTCCCTTGTGTTGCGAAAGCTCTCGCTGGCTGTCATTTTCCACCCTGCAGCAGGGTAGCCAATGGAGCAATGCTGCATGGTTTATATAACTGTTCCCTCTCCTGAGAAACTTGGGTGGGTCCCAGCATCTGGGGGTCCAGAAGCCCAGAACTGAGTGTCAGAGGCCACCTCATCTCTGGAGAGGGGCCATCCTGGCCGGACTCCCAGTAATGTGACATCTATCAGAAGGGCCGGGGCCAAGCCAGGTGGTGGGGAGACCCAGCTCGGCCCCACCCGCGGATGGGGCTGGGGTGAGGAGGAGCTCTGACCCCTGTGGCAGCTCTCAGGAGAGCACTCCTTCGGGGCTGAAGGGTCAGGCGGGGTTGCTCAGTCCCACAGCAGACGTTTAGCTGCTTGCGCCTGCACGTGGGCCACGTGAGCAAGAAGAAGGGACGTGGGGCTGGACAGGGCCGTCTGGACCAACTGGGAAGGGGTCTGAGCTGCCCCTGCCTCCTGCTCCAGCAAGTGGGCTGGGGGTGGGGCGTGGGGTGGCTTTCGTGCTCCCCTGTAGCGTCTCCTTCATCCAGGGCTCTGACCTGTCCTTTGAAGGGCTCCCTGAGGAGGCGTTTGAGCACCTGACCAACCTCAATTACCTGTACCTGGCCAATAACAAGGTGAGGGCTGCAGAAGGCGGAGGGTGCTGCCCTGTCCCCCTGGTGCTGTCTTCCCCGGAACTCTGTGATCTTTTCCCAGCTGTTTCTGGTCAGTCAGGTCCTTGCTGCTGCTCAGACATGACCCTGGGAGATGAGGAAGGAGTCATAAACCTCACCCCTGTAATCCAGGGAGGTGGAGGCCAAGTCCTCCTGTAGCATAGTAGAGGGAGAGCTTGGGGAGAATGGGGAGGGCTTCTTGGAGGAAATGGCATTTAGGCAAAGCAATGAGCTCAGATTCTAGTTCATCGCAGGGGCCCCTCGGAGGGCACTGCAGTACAAGGGACAAGTGCCAGGCTCAACAGCATGCTCTGTAGTCCTAGCAATTGGGAGGTGAAGTAGGAGGATCACTTGACTCCAGGAATTCAAGACAAACCTGGGAAACATAGCAAGAACTTGTGAACGAACGAACAAATGAAGAAGGGACAGCAGAATGAAGCATCAAAGCTCCTAAGGTTCAAATATTTAGCATGTCCCAAAGCCCCATCCCAGCCCCTGTCTCTGAACATTCCCAAAGTGCCCACCAGACTTGGAGCCCATGAGCACCATGGCCATGTCTAAGGCTATCTCTAGCCCTGCCCACTCCCCAGGCTTGAGATGCAAAGGTCTGCCTGCCTTCTTGACATCTCCCCTAGGTATCTGTGGAGTGATGCTACTGCTTCCTGCCTGCAGTCCCCGAGCCCCAGCTTCCCGTCTTTATGAAGGGCACTGCCACCACCCATAGCACTGCTTGCATGAGCCGCAGATCAGGAGCCTCCTGCACCATGTCCAGCTCCGTGGCTGCCGACAGGCACAGGCCCACCACCCACCACCTAGTGCCCCTCTGCCTCATTTTCTCCCCCTTTCTCCTCAGGGAAGCCAGAGAGACCTTTAAGTCATGCTCTGCTCGTACCCCTCTACTCCTTGCCCCGCCGTGTCCCAGGACGCGCCCCACAGGATGGGGGCAGGTGCAGAGAGCCTCTCCAGCTGAGCTCAGGGCTGGGGGGACTGGAGACGGGTTTGCTTGGTCAGGGAGTGGGGCAGGTTTCCACTTTAGAAAGATGGTCTGGTTGCCGGAAAGAGAAGTAAAGGGGCGCAAAGGAGCAGCCAGCAGTGGACTTCGATGCTGACCTCTTTCCTTCCTTGGTCTTCACACCCGACTCTTTCCTTTCCAGCTGACACTGGCACCCCGATTCCTGCCAAATGCCCTGATCAGTGTGGACTTCGCTGCCAATTATCTCACCAAGATCTATGGGCTCACCTTTGGCCAGAAGCCAAATTTGAGGTCAGAGGGATGGTCCTGGGCTTGGCGGGCAAGGAGAAGGGCTGAGGTACAGCAGCCCCGCCCCAACCAGGCAGGGCTTGCTGTGCGGTGGGGCGACAAGGCCCATGGTCTAGTGGAGGGCATCCAGGCTCGGGATGAGCTCAAGACCTTCGGGGGCTGAGACGTAGGTGTGAAGGCCTCAGTCCAGGAGGTGAGAGCGGAGAGTGTTAGGTGTGAGAATTGTGGGGCAGGGGCTGGGCTGGGGCTGCAGAGTGCCCTCCAGCAGGCAGTGGGCAGAACTGCCCTTTCCGGAGCCTGGTATGGAGCCTGGAGCTGGGGGTCAGGAACTCCTACCTCTGCCCCAGCTTGTGGGGTGACTTCTGGTGGGGCATTGACCTTCTGGTCACTGGTCCCTGGGCTGCGGAGATGGGGTCTGAGGCTCTGTAACACTGTACCCTTGGGTTAAGATGGGAGAAGAGAGTCGTGGGCCCCAGTCTCAGCCTGAGCAAAGGCTTAAGGGCTGTCTAGAAGCTGACCCAGGGGCTGGGGGGAGCCGAGGTGGGTGAGAACCTGTGCCTCAACCCCAGGTCCGTGTATCTGCACAACAACAAGCTGGCGGATGCCGGGCTGCCGGACAGCATGTTCAATGGCTCCAGCAACGTCGAGATCCTCATCCTGTCCAGCAACTTCCTGCGCCACGTGCCCAAGCACCTGCCTCCTGCCCTGTACAAGCTGCACCTCAAGGTGGAGAGGGACAGAGCAGAGCAGACCCCACGGCTGGGGGACAAGGGCAGGGACCTGCAGGGGAGGAAGTCAGCCCACACAGGCACAGTGCGGCCAAGTGAGGCTGCGAGGCTGTGGGCGTGTGACAGATCACAAGCCCACTGTGGGGGCACAGGCTGGAGACCGGGCACCAGGCTCCACGTCGGAGTCCCTTTCTGGTGTCTCCCCAGGCCCCTCTCCACGCCTTGCCCAAAGGCCCTGCTCTTGCCCCTTGCCTCTCCCTCACACTCTGCTCCCTACTTTTCCATCCCTAGAACAATAAGCTCGAGAAGATCCCACCTGGGGCCTTCAGCGAGCTGAGCAACCTGCGTGAGCTGTACCTGCAGAACAACTACCTAACCGACGAGGGCTTGGACAATGAGACCTTCTGGTGGGTGGGTCCCCATCTCACCACAGCCTCGGCATCACTGTGGTGCTTGGCAAGCTCCTCCCAGGGCCTCCCCAGCCAGCCATGGTCACACATCCCTCCCACCTTCCCTGGCCACTTTCCCTGGGAGATCTTTGAGGCTCATGCTTCTGTTGACATTTCTGCTTCCAAGAACAAGTGCCTGCTGAGATGGCAGGGAGTCAAATATGGCTGAAGGAGACTGGCTCCTTGGTATAAAATGCAAGCTCAAGCATTCTTGCTGAGTGCAAATACGTTTTCATTTTGGGGGCCCAACATAGCCACAAAAAGCTGCTTGTTCAGTGGTGGTCTTCAAATAAATCCCCACAAGTCAGAAATGACACAGAATCCTTCCTACACTAATGTATAAAGTATGATTGAAAACTGCTTAATGTTTAAATTTTAAAAATTTATCACAGTGTAAGATACATTGCCATTAATCCTCTTCAGAATATCCTCCTCACTTCAAACCCACTTATCCCACCGTTCTTGCCACTTTCTGAAGCAGTTCTGGAGGTCCTCTTTCCTGAGTGTCTTTAGTTGTGCAGTCAGCAGCCTGTGTTCAGGACCAATTCAAAATATTTGCCTTTCGTGTCATTTTGACTTTGGGGAAGACCAGCAGTCACATAGCGCCAGACCCAGTGAATGAGGTGGGCGAGGACACACTGTCGTGTTTTCATGAAACTGCCTTTCTGCTGGAGGGCACCCGGTAGCAGCGTTCCCTGTAGTTTTGACCACACCTCTTAATGACACAAAAAAGGACTTCACATTGCTTCAGAAAGTGGCAAGAATGATGGGATAAATGTGCTGGGGGTGGTCGATGGCAATGTGTTTTTTTACCATAATAAAATTTTTATAATTTAAAATTCTGCATATATTTTGGCCATGTTGCATATCATTGAATCAACCCAGAGGGAGGCCCTGGGAGGACCAAGGCCCCCCCAGGCGAGGAGTGGCAGAGCTTGGTGATTTCAGGGGGTCCTCTATGGTTTCCCTTGGGACTCATGGTGGGGACAGCAGATGTGGGCTCTGCCGCGTCCTAATCTAATCCCCGCCCCCAGGAAGCTCTCCAGCCTGGAGTACCTGGATCTGTCCAGCAACAACCTGTCGCGGGTCCCCGTGGGGCTGCCGCGCAGCCTGGTCCTGCTGCACCTGGAGAAGAACGCCATCCGGAGGGTGGACGCGGATGTGCTGACCCCCATCCGCAGCCTTGAGTACCTGCTACTGCACAGCAACCAGCTGCGAGCCGACGGCATCCACCCGCTGGCCTTCCAGGGCCTCAAGCGGCTGCACACGGTGCACCTGTACAACAACGCGCTCGAGCGCGTGCCCAGTGGCCTGCCCCGCCGCGTGCGCACCCTCATGATCCTGCACAACCAGATCACAGGCATCGGCCGCGAGGACTTTGCCACCACCTACTTCCTAGAGGAGCTCAACCTCAGCTACAACCGCATCACCAGCCCGCAGGTGCACCGCGACGCCTTCCGCAAGCTGCGCCTACTGCGCTCACTGGACCTGTCCGGCAACCGCCTGCGCACGCTGCCCGCAGGACTGCCCCGCAACGTACACGTGCTGAAGGTCAAGCGCAATGAGCTGGCTGCTCTGGCGCGCGGGGCGCTGGCCGGCATGGCTCAGCTGCGAGAGCTCTACCTCACCAGCAACCACCTGCGCAGCCGCGCCCTGGGCCCCCGCGCTTGGGCAGACCTCGCCCACCTGCAGGTAAAGGAGGCTGGCTAGCCTGGGATGCTTTGGATGGGCTGCCCTGAGCCTACCCGTCTGCTGGGACCAGGTGAGGGCTGGGCTTGGAGGAGGTTCCTCTGGTACAGCCAGGCTGGGCTCACATGGCTGGTGTGAGCCCAGACTCCTGCAGACACAGGAGTGGAGGGAGATTTCGGGAGTGTCTGACTGGCGCTGCCAGGCCAGGCTCCCCACAGGCAGATGCAGGCTTGAAAAGGGGTGTGGAGGTCAGAGGTCATAGCTGCAAGTAGGGGCCCGTGGTTCAGGAGGACTGGAGGGCACTTTGGGGGTGGGGCATGAGAGAGTCAAGCTTACCCACCCACAGGGACAGGTGCCACAGCCCTTCTGCTGCCCGAGCAGAGCCACCTTTCACAGCAGATCTCTATTAGCAGACCTAATAACAGCTCAGCACCCCTGCATTGCTGTCCCCTCTGCCCCAGGCATCCTCAGGGCTTCCTCTCTCTTTCTGAGGGTCTGCTCCATAGCGTCTCCTTGGGCAGTCTTTTCTTCATGAGCCTCATTTCTCCAGGCTGAGGTCATCTCGCTTGGTGCTGCCTGCCCTCAGTGAGGACAGTGATGTTAGCCCGCCGTGTCTGTGGCTGTCTGTGGCAGGCTCACGTCACTGCACGTAGAGGGATGACAGGAAGAGCACCCAACTCCACCGGAAGTGCTGGCAGGACTGGGATGTCTGCATGGAGTATGGGATGTGGGTGGGTGTGGCAGCTGGTCCACCCAGACAGCCTTGCTGAGACCAGGAGCCAGCTGCCGGTGTCACCTGGGCTGTTCTTCAGGAACCAGTCCTTGAGAGCCCAGAGCCTCCTGTTTTCTCCTCCACACCTGCCCCTCCTGCTGCATTTTCTAATTCACTGAAGGGACTGGGTGGCATCCAGGGGGACCTGGAAGCTGCCTGCACACTGCCACCTGCCTCCAGTGGCTCCCCAGCACCTGCCCCCACTGTGCGGCTCCACACCTCTTTGTCTCCTTCTCTCCAGCCTGCTGTCCACACCCCAGACCAAGCCACCCATTTCTTCCCTGCACCCCAGCTTCCTAGGAGCTTGCCACTCTGGTGGTCTGTATGCCATCGAGAAAATCTCGACAACCGCGTGCCCTTTCACACTCCCGCCCTGATCCCTTGTCCCCATGCCCCGGCTGTCAAGGCCTGCTCTGCCGGCTCCAAGTGCACTGGTTCTTCTGCTGGAGGCACCCCTTTCCTGCTCACTGCAGACGCCCACTCATTCATTTACTCCATTATTCTAGACCCAGCCCCATGTCCCAGACACAGTTCAGAAGTGGACACTCCATGGGGACTTAGATAGAGGGCCACTGCCCTGCTAGATGGATACCTAGGACTCAACTTAGGCATCACCTTGCTCTTTACCAACAACGGGCAGGTTGGTCACCTCCCTGGGCCTGGGGGAGTTCGGCTGGGGATGCCTGGCAGAATGGGGATTCTTTCTCCTACTGTGGCTGTGTTCACAAGCAACTGGTCCTGCTGCCTCTGTGCTGTGTCATAGCTGATTCCACCTGCTTGTCCTTGTCAGTCTGGCTTACTGAGGTGGAGATGTCTCGGTGGAGCCCAGGTCCCCCATATCCAAGGACGTGTGGGGTGCAGGAGGAAGTGCTAGCATGGAGGCATGTGCTGTGGGGTGCAGGGGACAGCAGGGAGCCTGGGTTAGGGGAGGTTGCGGAGAGGCCCCTAAAGTGCACGGAGCTGTGCTCCCCTTCAGTCCTGAGGCCATCTTGCCCAGATATCCAGTTTCTGTGCCCCAGCCTCCTGACCCCGACCCCCAGCCTCAGGGAGCTTAGGGACCACTGGGCTGTGTCTGCCTAGTCCTGTGCCCACTGCAGGTGTGTTCTGCTCCTGCAAAGCCCAACCCACTCCCCGGTTGCTGGTTCTTGGGTCCCAGGCGCATGAACACCTCGGGGCCTGGCCCTTGTGCCAGGGTCACTGCAGGCTTCATATCTTCACTTCTGGCCTCTACACATGTGGCCCTTGAGGTCTATAAATGAGCAGTCCCCCCAGTCCCCATGCACCTCCTTCTACTCCCACCCGGGTTCAATAGGACAAGATTCAAAAGCTGGAGGATCTCCAGTCTGTGACTATATTACGCCTGTGTCGGATGAGAGTGACAGGTGTGTTAAGGCAGGACTGTGACACCCAAACCTTATGTGTGAAGGCACAAGTGGCTGGGGAGGACCTACAGCAATCAAAATAAAGGTTTGGATTCAGACACACCAGGTTCCAGCCTCTTACAGGCTGTGTGACCTTGGGTGGATCACCGAACCTCTCTGAGCTTCTGTTCCTTCATGTGGAAAGTGAGGATGATTTAGACTCTTCCCCTCAGTAGCATTCTTTGATTTAGATAGGCTGGGTTCTTGGCAAGAGTTTTGTAAGCTGTTGAGTGCTTTGCAGAGGTAGATGTCCCTGACTCCGCTGGTTACCCCTGCAGCTGCTGGATATCGCTGGGAATCAGCTCACGGAGATCCCCCAAGGGCTCCCCGAGTCGCTTGAGTACTTGTACCTGCAGAACAACAAGATCAGCAGCGTGCCTGCCAGTGCCTTTGACTCCACACCCAACCTCAAGGGGATCTTTCTCAGGTAGGAAGTCCCTCGTGGGCCTCCGTGCACCCCAGTGGGGCCTGCCCAGCTCCAGTGGGGCAGTCAAGGCCACAGGGACAGCTTGTGGGCGGAGGTCAGTGCTTGCAGCCTGGATCCATAATTGCTGACCAGCGGTGGACCATGTGTCAGTCAGAACATGCCAGCTTCTGCTGTCTCAGCCTTCAAAGGTGGGGGCAGCCCTGGCCAGGCCTGATGTGGTTTATGGATTTGTAAATGAGCCTCTGCAACTTTAAGAAGCAATGCATTTGGGAATTAGTGATACCAACGTGGCAGGAAGTGACCTCAGGGAGCATCTTCCCCGTTTACAGCTGGGAGAACTAAAGCCCAGGGAGCGTGGTCTGGGGGTGTGGGTGGGGGTTTGAAATGATTTAGAGGACCCAGCTCCCAGGGATACGGGCACTTCTGTCAGAGCCAGCATGGTTCTTTCCAACGCTCCGTGTACCCACCATGTTAGCTGATATAACAGAGCACAGCCGAAGGCCAGTGCTTGGGAACACAGGATGGTATGACCTGTGCTCAGGCCTCTGGAGGGGCCTGATATCAGAGCCATGGCCCCTGCCATCCCTCACCTAAGCATGTCCCCTGCCCAGCTTAGCCGTGGCCTTGCCTGGGTGCCACCCCAGACCTTGGAGTTAGGGCCTGAGAGTAGACAGAAAGGAGGCTCTCATGTCTGCCATGCCTAAAATGCTCAGTGAGAGAGGGAGACTTCCTTTCACTTACAGATGACCAGCCTGGAGCCCTGCCCTGCTCCCGAGCTGCTGCTGCTACCCTGAACAGCTTACACTTTCCACCTTGCACCACACTCCTGAACCCCACGTTTTCATCTCACTGTGTCGCCCCAGAGGGCTGGCTTCCTCCTGTTGCCTTCTGAGGTGGGTAGGCGCTGGCCCCCGAGGCTGGACTCCTGCACTGACCCTAGTTTGGATGGCTGCCTAGGTTTAACAAGCTGGCCGTGGGCTCCGTGGTGGAAAGTGCCTTCCGGAGGCTGAAGCAACTGCAGGTCTTGGACATCGAAGGCACCATTGAGTTTGGTGATACTTCCAAGAACCATGGCCGCTTGGAGGAAGAGGAGGAGGAGGAAGAAGAAGAGGATGAGGAAGAGGAAGAGGAAACAAGATAGTGACAGATCTGACCTAGGCAGGTAGTCAATATGGGGATGGTGTGCACTGCTCCTTATCACCTTCTTACCGCTGACCCATTCTAGGGTCTTTCTGTCCATTCTTCACCCTCCCCTGCTTCGTCCCTTCATTTTGCAATCTCCTGTGTTGGTTTTGCATGTGGGAGGCACCCGGCCCTGGGGGAGGGATTGAAATGGAGCAGCTTCCCTGGAGGCTGGCATGTGCCAGAGCATTCTCATCCAGGTGATATATGCTGCCATGGGAGCCAACTGGGCGGGGTTGGGCATATGGAGGGAAGTCTAGGCTGGCACTGGGGAGCCAGGCACTGTCAGCCTGGAGACAGGCACTGAAGCTGCCAGCGGGAGGGGGCATCACCCAGGCAGAGTGAGTGCGGGACTTGCAGAGCAGACTGAGCTGGGGCAGTCGGGAAAGCAGGGGTGGGGCTGGGGGACAGGGCTTTGCACCTTCCTGTAACACAGGTACTGCACACAAGCACATGCACCGACACGCTTGCCTGAGCATGCACACACAGTCACAAAGCACACACCTGCAGAACACACATACTGTACACACACACACAGACACACACATGGTGATACACAGGCACCAACTATGTAGGTGCACACGTGTGCCTTTGTAAGCATGTGCACACATGCATACCTCTGTGCTGTGCACACAGGCCCTCACAGGTGGGTGCACATGTGTGTGCGTTGTGTGCACATGCACAGGCTTTTCCGGAAGTGGGTACTCAGCAGTGTCAGCACTGCCCAGGGCCCACTTCGTTTATCCATGTGGAGTCATCTGTGCCCTCATGGGGAGAAGGGCAAGGTGAGAGCGGCTAGAAAGGGAGTGGATCCCTCTCTGGAGAAGCTCAGCTGTGAAGAGGCGAGGGAGGGCAGAAGCAGGAAGGCAGTGCGCGCTTGGGAAAGGCTCCTCTAACTGGTGCTTCCTCCAGGGGCAGACCTGGTGGACACTGACTGGGGTGGGGAGGCTGCTATAAGAAGTAAAGTGGGTACGGGCTGCTGCGGAACTGCGGGATGCCATGCTCTCCACTGTGGCTGCAGTCAGACAGGTTAGCGGCTTGCTGGCTGGATCTGAGGTCCTGTCAGCCTTCTGCCTCCCCCATGTGTAGGAGGTGCTTAGCAGACATGGAATGGGGAGAAGATGGACCAATGACTCCATTGCGGTGGGGGTGTGGGACCAGGAGGGGCGCAGGACTAGGAGGAAAAGGAGCAAGGAAGTCAAGTGCATTAGGAAAAGGAGAGCTGAAGGCCGGGTCCTGAGGCGGGCTGCGCGGGGATGGAGGCACGGAGGGGGATGGTGGCGCCCGGGCACAGTGTTGGAGAGTGGCTGAGAGGAGAGGCAGCTAGTCACAGGGACATTGGAGGGGAGCTAAGACGTGGCAGTGAGCTGTGCTGGGGTGGCAGGGCCCAATGTGGCCGTGGGAGGGGACTACCAGGGCCCCAAGAGGAAGCTGATGTGAAATAGGGACTGGGGCAGAGGGGCCTGCAGCTGACTGGTGTGTGACAGCAGCCTGTGGGTGGGGGACAGAGTGGGAGAGGCAGCCACACTGACGGCGGTATGCATGGCAGGGTTATCCGAGTGTTGGGGTCAGGCCCACAGGGAGTCCTCCAGAGCCCTCTTGTCCTGTTCCGGAAGTTGGTTATGAGGTGGAGTCCCTTCTCGGGAGGCATCATCCTCACACAGAGCCAGGGGTCACCTATGGGGTGACCTGCTATTCACTAAGAATTCCATAGGCCATGGTGGCACATACCTGTAATCTCAGCACTCAGGAGGCTGAGGCAGGAGGATCGCCATGAGTTTGAAGCCAGCCTAGGTTACAAAGAGATCCAGGCCAACCTGCACTACATAGTGAGACTCTGTCTCAAAATAAAACAAAACGGAAAAAAAAACACAGCCCCACCAAAAATTGCATGGCCCTCCTAAGGGGACTGTGGAGTCCTGGGGTGGAAGAGAATCTGCCCCCCTGGAGGACACTGGCTGTAGTGAGGTTGGTTGTGAGGGCCAAGGGAAGCCAGGCACCTCTTCTGGGTGCAGGCTCCTGGGCAGCTCCCCTCCCCACTTACGGTAGCCTGGCTTTCCCAGAGCCTCAAGTGGGGGCCCGTGGCCCCATCCCCAGGCTGATGTGGCTGGCATGGCTGGTGGTCGCCCTGGCCAGGCCCCTGACTCTCCTACGTGTTTCACAGGACAATGGATCATGGACTCCTTTCTGCAGCACGTGCCATGTCCTGTGAGCCCCCATCTGCATGCTCACAGGGACACACCCAGCACCGAACCTGTGGGCCACCCTGCCTGCCACAGGCTGAATGCACCTTGGGTCCCCACCTGGTCCTGCAGTGTGTCCCGTGGCCAGACATGTGCAGATATCACGTCACACCCCTGCACACCCAGCTCAGGTGCACACACAGCCGGCTGCCCTTACCCTCCAGATGTTACACTCTCCAGCTGAGGCCCACCACTGTGGCCAGGCCTGCCCTCTGAGTCACGCAGACTCAGGCAGGACTGTCCTCCCTGGCACACTTAGCATGTGCACACACACACACGCTCACACACTTACTTACCTGCAAGCACCACACACACACACACAATAGTGCCACCAACAGCTCTTGCCACTAGCCAGATGTGACTAGGATTGCTCGCCATCAACCTGGTCCTCTGTCCATCCACTACCTGGAGAAGATATACGGTTATCTCCCTGCTCTGTGGCCAGGTGCTTTCTGCTGTCTGGAACTCACAAAAGCTGGCTTCTGTTCCTTTCCCTCTTTTGGGGACCGGAACATTCTGGATTTCTGCCTCACCAGGTGCTGGGGCAGTCACTCTGCTGAGCGTCCCTCCCTGCTGTGCCCTGGCAGGCACTGGCACTTTGGAAGGACAGTCCTCGTGGAAGTGAGTGGGAGGCCTCCTGGCTGCTGCTGGGTCCCTGGAGCAGGGGGAGCCCAGGCTGTGGAGCTGGAGGACCAGGCAGGAAGGGCCAGCCTATACCTACAAGACATACTTTATACTTTTGTACTTTATACAGGGAAGTTCTGGGTGCCTTTTTTGTTTTTAGTTTTTTTTTAAGAAAAGAAAAATGATAAAAATCTCAAAGCTCACTTTTCTTGTTACAGAAAAACTAATATAAAAGCATTACCCCTGTCCTTGCAGCTGGTGTGTCTGTGTGTGCTTCCTGCCAGGCGCTGGGCTGGGGTCTGCTCTGGGCAGACAGGATACAAGCGCTGCCGCACCCTGCCAGACTAGCAGGAATCAGGGCAGAGTTCAGTTCTTGGGGTCCCCAAAGGAGTTGCATGGGCAGACGGTTGGGGAAATGGAACTTGGTGGCAGCTAAGGAGGCCGAGAAGTGTGTGTGGACCCTAAGCTGGGCAGGAATCAGCAGATAGGACTGGGATCACCACAACAAGCCTACAAGCCCAGCAGAGGACCTGCCAGTCATGGAGGGTCACCTTTGCACTAAGGGGCTGTTACCAGTGGGGTCTGTCCCATGGAAGTGGGAGGGGGAGGCAGGCCTAGGCGCTGGCACAGAGCTGACCAAGGGACAGAGTCTCTGCGGGCCTTCCCAGGGAAGAGATGACAGACATGCCCAGTGTGTTCCCTCTGGGGCAGAGCCCGGGGCGGGGGTTGTTGGGGGGAAGCTGCAGGAGGTGGCACCCAGTTCCAGGCAAAGAAAATCTTTGATGCACAGAGCGGCCCTGCAGTAGAGTGCGATGCTCAGGAAGTAGCGACCTTCCTGCTACCAGCAATGTGTAAGCACGCAGCTCTCAAGGCTGAACAGATTCCTGCCTTGTGGTAGAGCTAACTTGGTTGCTTAAAGCGCCTTAGAAATGTGACCAAGGGGCCAAAAGCCCATCCATATAAAGGTGGGGGTGACTGACAGCCTGACATCCGGCCTCTCCTAGGTGGTGGGGCCTCTCAAACGGAAAGAAATCTCGTGGCCGTAAAGCTCCCAGCCCTGCATGATTTGAGTGATGTGGGGTACAGGCCCTTCCTGGGCTCCTCACACTGTCATGCTGGGAGGAAGATGGATGCAGACCGGGAGCTAGGGTGGAAGCAGGTGCCTTCCTGACTCTCAGGATGACCTTGGGAGGCTTGTCCCTCCCTGGATGCCATGTCTTCATGAGTGTCACAGTGTATGACCCTCCCATACCCAGGCCTCCTGCAGGGACCTGGGGCGAGAGGAAGCAGGGATACCCTGGATGTCATGGTGCGACCCTCGCTAAGGCAGAGCACTCATCAAGGGGAGCTAGACTGGGAGATGTGTTCCTCGTCTGGTTCCCACTGCAGAGTATAGCCCTGGCCAGGGACACAGTGGTCTGGCCGCACAGCAGTCCCTGAACGAGGCCCTGGACGGCTGATCAGCACTCTGTCTTCTGCATGTGACAGCACAGACAGGGCAGTCCTCCCTGGGGCCACCAGGACAGGCTCATCAGTATGCTGACGGCCTCCATTGCCCAGAGTGTGGGCTCTAAGCAGATGAGACTTGAAAAACAAAAGATCTTTATTTAGTTATCACTGAATTTGCTAACACAGGAAGGGATAGGAATTGTGACTCCACTTTGTCACATGGGCCTTGGGGGAGTTCTGACCCCAGGGTGCCACCAGGGCCTGCCCTCCTGCCCACAGCAAGCTGGCCTGGATGTCCCCACCAGGCCTTTCCAGGGTCCTAGTAAAGATATCCGGTCCACATCAGACAAGCTGTGGGAGACTCAGCTGGTGGGCAGGGACAGGGCAGGCCATGGCACGTGGAAGGCAGCAAGCGGGTCTCAGCCCAGGACAGGCCCAGGTTTGGGGGCAGCTATTTGTCTGTTCTATGGGGTGGGGTGAGGGCTGGCCTGGGCCTGGACATGGCTGGGGTGGAAACCAGGATGTTGTTATTACATCCTCATGAATTAGAAGCAGTAGTGACTGTGGCACCCCTCCACGTCTGTCCCTACAGGCCACTCTGTCCTACAGGAAGGAGTAGCCAGGGCTCAGAGACTTGAGTTAGTATCCTAGCCCTGACATTGCTTTCTCAAGACCATGGGCAAGTGCTCAGAACCTCAAATCTGTGACCCAGAAAATGGGGATGACAACCCCTGCCTCACCCCCACATAGGCTTTCAAGGTAGCACAGTTAAGGTTTGGGCTGGGCAGGCCACCGCGCTCAGGATGAGGCTCCAGCGTGCACCCTCTCCCTCTGAAATTCTATTTCCCACCTCTCAGGCTAATTCCAGCCTCTCAAGGAGAGCAGAATGCATGAACCTGGTGCCTGCCGGCTGCCTGGCTGCTCAGGTGAGCCGCGAGTTCTGCTCCTGCCCCACAGGCTCACACGTTGGTCTCCAGCTCGCTGATCTCTATGGTGCAGTGGTCCAGGCTGGCCGTGGCCAGCTCCTCATCCTGCTCCACCTGCACAGGGATGTGGTGGGGGCAGGTGGGGCCGAGGGTCAGCTCTGAGGCCTCAGCCACGCTCTTCACACAGCCATTCTGCTGGGTCGCCACGATCTCCTGAAGGCTCACCGGCTTGGTCTCACAGGGTGGCAGCTTCTGCAGAAGGGACATGAGATTTGGTAGCAGCAGGAGGAAGTCAGGGTGGTTGGAGCAAGTGATCTTGGAGTTGGGAACCAAAAAAGAGATTGTCCTACAGAAACCCGAGGTGGCCTGGCAGGTCACAGGTCCCTTTAACAACAATTCCCAAGCTGTCCTGGACCTGTCTCAGTAGAAGAGGGACCTGATCTACAGGTTAAACCAGGAGATTGGTGGCTCTCCTGCCTGAGCCTCCTCTTCCTCCCCGTGAAGTGGGGGTGGCCTACACATGGTTACAAAGGGACCTGAGAAGATCACCCTGCCCTATCCAGTCCCCCAGACATGTGATATAGCAGGAAGTGCCATTTACACTAGGGTCTGAGTCCCCCAGGGCAGGGAACTTTACGGGAGTTCCCAGTATTTCTCCTGTCTGGATCAGAGCTGGCCCAGAGGAGTTCCTTGCCCCTGTTAGTCAGGGACGAGGACACCAAGACCCAGAGGGATGGAGGGATTGGCTGAAGGCTGCTCAGCAGCAGGTAGGAAGTCTGGTGTCCACTCTACCTGGCTGCGCCCTGCTGGTGACCCCTGGGAAGGAGCCCTGTTCTCACCTCAGTGCCAGTGTCCCGTGCAAAGTCCTTGCGACAGATGTGGGCCATGATCCCTGCAGCCAATGCATCACCCAGCACGTTAATCATGGTGCGGAAACGGTCCCTGGAGAGCCAAGGTGGGCAGTGAATACAGGGAGAAGTGGAGCTGGTAGGGACTATGCCCATCGGCAGGGCAGGATGCCACAGGCCACCCTGCGTGGTGTTGAAGCCGGCTGATGCAAGGCTGGCCTGGGTCAGCCGCACAGGCCCTGTGCTTAGAAGGACAGGCTTGGTCTAATGCTCTGTGATCACTGTCCTGGAATTCTTTACAATTCTGTTTTCATTTTTAGTCTGGGCCCCCTGATTATGTGCCAGGCCTGTGTAGAGGAGGAAGGCAGCTGTGCTGTGCCAACACAAACACGGCGGTACCCTGGGGCCCTCTCCTCAGGGGAAGGGACTTAGCTCCCTACCCTGCCACGCCGGCCGTGGCCTAGCGATAGGGCTGGGTATGGGGTGCACTCACAGAGCCCAGTCCACAGCGATGATGAGGTTGATGTCGTCAGTGGGCAGTCCCACAGAGGTGAGCACAATGACCATGGTGACAAGCCCGGCCTGGGGGATGCCAGCTGCCCCAATGCTGGCCGCGGTGGCTGTGATGCTGCGTGGGGTAGGGTGGAAAGGGGATCAAGAGGTGGTGGGGTACGTGTTGGGATCCTGCTCCAAGGAGGCCAGAAAACCAGGCTGAGAGGTCACCAGGGAGTTCCTGGGGGAGTGTGACCCTGCATACACTCCTGGGTTCTCATGGGCCCCCATCCCTAGCCTTTGGAGGCCTAAAGAAGCTGTGGAAACCTGTCTAGAACTATACCTCTGTTGGTTCCAGAGCTACCCAGAAACTCTGATCACAGGCCAGCACAACTCAGCCCAGCCTTGCTCTGGGGCCTGGCCTCCGGTGCCAGACTTGAGAGCCAGGCTGGCCTTGGAGGCCTCCTTCAGCCTCTGGTCCACCTCAGCATCCCACCCTCCGCCCCAGTGCTGACCCGAGGGTGGCTCGGCATAGGCCCGTCACCCTCACTGGCCCCACAGACCCCTCCAGGAAGCAGAGGTCAGGACACACCTGATGGTGATGATCTGGCCAAAGTCCAGCTCGTAGTTGTTGACCTGGGCAATGAAGATGGCGGCCACAGCCTCATAGAGCGCAGTGCCATCCATGTTGATGGTGGCACCCACGGGCAGCACAAAGCGGGCAATGCGCCGGTCAATGTGGTTGTTTTCCAGCAGGCACTTGAAGGTGATGGGCAGTGTGGCTGAGCTATGGGCAGAGGGGCCGGTGTCTGCCCGCCACCCTCCTCCAGGATGACCAGGCCCTCTGCCAGGATGCTGCCTGCCCAACGCCCCTCTGCTGGGCCACCTGGACTTTGAGTCCAGCCTGCACCCAGGACCCTGGCAGAGACCCAGGTGCCCTAGTTCCCTTGTCCACCAACACCCAGGTCACAGAGCTGATGGGGGGTCAAGCCACACCATGCTAAGACAGTGCCTGGGCCTGAGTTCTGTGTGGACTTCTGAGGCAGGGTGTGTCTGGGCACCCGCCAGGGAAGTGGCCTGCGGGCATTCCACAGACTGCATAGCTGAGGCCTGGGGAAGAGAAAGCGCAGTGAGGGCTGGAGGGAAGAGCAAGGCCTTGGGGACAGAACAGTGGGCTCAGGTCTCCGTGACTTCTGACTTCCTCCACATCTTGTGGGGTTCCGTGGGGCTTGGACACTCACTAAGGAAGATCGCCCTTTCCTCGGAGGGTGACATGCTCAGGAAGTAACACTGCCTTCCTCTCCTGGGATAGCAGCCTGGTTTGCCCAGCTCTAACTCCCTGAGGTGCTCTGTACTTAGCTAAGGTTTGGGAGCCTCAAGACTGGGCCTCCGCTCTTCCAGCCTCCACAGCCTTCACCACATGCCTGGGGGTAAAGGCTCAAATTATCCCAGCCCAAGTCTGAGGACGCTACGGCCCAGGGAGGTTGAGTGACTACTCACCATCACACAGTCAGAGTGGAGAACAGGAACTTGGGGCCCTTTGCCTAGCAACACGGCCGAAGTTGACACTATCCAAGGGGCACATTCCAGTGGCAGAGCCCTGTGGAGCTCTACAGCGGTACTGTGCCTGGCCCAGCAGAAGCCCCAGAGGGCTGCAGAAGGCAACAGTGCAGGCTCTGCGGCCCTCTCTGGCCCTGTGGTGGGAAGCTGACCCCTGTGCAGATCGAGCGAGCTTTTGGAATTGCGGGCAGAGGAAAGTACTGAATCCCTAAGCTAGGTCTTGTTCCTATAGCACCATGGCCATCCCGGCTTTGTGAAGTGGATTGTGGTTCTGTGGCTCTGGACGAATGATGCCCGGACACAACTACAGAGTTCCATTCCGCCCACTCCATCCCGTCCCGCTCGTTGCCGTGGGCTACCTGGAGGAGGTGGCCAGTGCGATGAGCAGGGCCTGGAGGACACCGCGGATGAAGACAATGGGGTTCTTCTTGGTGATGAAGAAGTAGAGCAGGGGCAGGATGAAGAGGCCGTGGACCACAAGGCCACACACCACGGTGATGGCGTAGAAGCCCAGCTTCTTTCCGACCGCCTTGGGGTCATCCATCTCCAGGATCTTGCCGGCGATGAGAAACACAATGCCAAAGGGGAAGTACCTGGGGCCACCGTGCAGCCTCGGCTCAGTGCTAGGCAGACCCGTGTCCCCCAGCCACGGCGCCGCAACCCTGGGCCTCCAGGGATCACGTGTGGCCAAAGGAAGACTGTGTAAACAAGGTGTCCTGCAGGTAGCATTGCAGGGGCCCTTACCCTCTACCAGCCCTGCCTGGACAGCCTCTGGCCTCCCTGCTGCCCTGTCCCTCCCCTCAAGTGGCCCCATTCTAGCCGCAGCAATGCCACGCCTCCTTGAGTGGCGGTGGACAGCCCTCTGCCTCTCTCCTCAGTCTAGAGGATTCCTCAGATTGGAACCAGGAGTGGCAGCTGGTTTTCCCTTCCACTGTGTTCTTTCTTCAAAATCTGAGCTGAGTAAACTCCATGGTGTGGGGAAACTGAGGCCAAGAGGACAGCCAAGCCGGGCTGAGCCATCTTCCATACCAGGCTACAAGCATCAGAATCAGGCCAGGAGCCAGGCCTGGTCAGGGTTGGGGATCCAGGCAAACACAGGTCGCTCTGGAGGCCCCGGTCCTGGCTGAGCCTCTCTGGGCATCAGAGGATGGGACAGCCCTCAGCATCTCTCCACCTACCTGGGACCAGTGGGGTGGGAGAGTGGAAGAGGACCCGCTCCAGAGAGGCTTACCACACAGCCACTGCCACGATCTTCATGACAGACTCGTTGAGGCACTGGCAGAAGCTGACCAGGGGGGCCCCGCTGTCACCCATGCGGCCTAGCATGATTCCTGTGGAGACAGATAGCACGTTCCAGGGGCCCCTGCCTAGGCGTAGGCACATCAAGGGCAAAGCAAGGACAGACCTGCACCCACGTGCATGCCACAGCCCTTGCTGACCACCCACAACCTGTAGCGGGCCACACTCCCCTCACTCTCTGCTCTCTTCAGACCAGGATGGGCAGGGCTGTCACCTGTCACTCCGGTCCAGCCCATTCTCCTCCCTGTAGATGGCCTCTCCTCGAGGAGAAATGCCACTGCTGACCACCTCACCACATCCCCGTGCACTGGGGCCATAACCAAGCTCCCAATGGCTTTGGCCACTCCTATCTGAGCCCACCATCCCCCCACCCTCCTACTCTACCCACCCTTCCTCACTGGCCTTCCTCAGGGTCCAGGACCCATCGAGCTCTGCACTGCCCTGGGCCTTTGCCCATGTGCTTCCCAAGGTCCTGGCCACCGGCCACCAGTTCTCTACACAGTTAGATCTCTCCCTCTTGCCCCCAAGTCTATTTGCTCCTCTACTTCACCCCTCACTGCCTCTTTTCCATCACTTGTGACCATTGGCACCTGTTTTCTTCCTGCCTTTTCTCCCTTTCCCCTGACACCTTAGCTCTGTGGGCCAAGAGCTACAGCGCCTGAGATGGCCCATGGTAGATGGACAACAAAGGCCACGGAGTGAAGCGTCCTGGCGCTGTCCTTGGAGCCTGGTGTCCCTACGTTTTCTGGGCCTCAGGGCACTCACATCACACTTGGGCAGTGCACATGTGCAGCTGCCTCTTGGGTCAGCTCCGCGAGAGTGTGCCCTGCTGGGCCCTTCTCAAATGGGCAGCTAAGAGCCTCCTTTCTTCTGATGAGGCCAAAACGGGGATGACTGTCTTAGCCAGAGAGGGGCAGGTGTGAGCTGAAACCCTGACACTTAGGACTCCAGAGGGGGCCTTTCCTTGAAGCTCACAGAGAAGCTTGCCCCAGAGGCGGGGTGAGGAGGGGCCCTGTCAGGACCGGCAGGAGAGGCCAGAGTTGAAGGTGACATTGGGCCTTGCTCTGCCCATCTGGCCTGTCACAGCCTGGCTGATGGGGACCCAGGTTCCCGCTGCCCGAGCTATTCCCTCCCTGCTCAGCCTCCAGGCTGGCTGGGAGTTAGTGTGCGTAGGGCCTGGGGTGTGGCAGTGGGTCCTCCACAGGCTGGCCAACCGGACCAAAGCACCAGCCACAGCCTAGCGTCAGGGAGGAGTCAGCAAGGGAGGCTTGGCTGAGGGACCAAAGAAAGCCCTGTTCAGAGCAGCTGTGGATAGTGGTGTTGGCACCCCACAGACACGGCATGGCAAGAGGTGGGCACACACAGGCTCGGGCACACATTGGTGTGGACGCACACTGATGTGGTATAGTTACAAACGTACTTGACACATGGTCAGTTATGCCTGCTCTGTAAACCCTGAATGGCTGGAGTCTCCAGAGTTTCATTTGCTCTGCTAGGACATGTCCTTTTCTATGTTCTGTCCCTCAGAGAGGCTGTGGGTGATGAGAGGAAAGATGTCCCGGACTGGGGACTTGCTGTCCGGTGTGCTGAAAGGTGCTTCTAGGAGCGGGCCCCTCTGTAGACCTGGTACTTTAGCAAAGATGATCAGATCTGTTACTCAAGGCCATCCATCCAGTCATGCATCTGTCCACCCATCTCCCCAGCAGGTTTCACGGAGCACTGCCCGCTCCAGCCAGTTGTAGTGGGGCCAGGCATGTCTCCACCCACCTGGAGCCAACACTGCTGCTATAGACAGCACGCTGGCTATGGCACAGGGGTATCGCAATAAGGTTTACCGAGGTATAATGCACATAGAGAATGTGGAGCACATACTGACCAGTCTGGGGACCAGGATGCTGTCCTGAGGACTGAAGCCTGTAGAGGCCCCTGGGGGCTGAGAAAGGTGACAAGGGAGAAGGGGCGATTGCAGCTGGGCTGAAGGAGTGGAGGGCCCTCCACTGGGAGGTCACTCAGATACCTGGGTGGTGGGAGCCAGAAGGGAATGGAGTGAGGATGCCACAAGGGACAGGCAGAACATACCCATGGTGGCAGAGAATATGACAATGCCCAGCACGTTCATGCCATCACTGGTGCCGGGCTCCGACCTGTAGACGATCTCAGGTGGTGGGGTCAGGTCCAAGGCGAAGTTCTGCACACGAGAGCCATTCTCTTCCTGGACCCCGTAGATGAGGATCCGTCGCGGCGGGGCCTCCTCTGGGGTCACCTTGGGGGACTTGATAACCGGGGTGGTCTTGGTGCGGTACTGGTGGGCGACAACCCACAGCTCAGTGTTAGTATCAGCAACAGCGATACCATCTGTGGCACTCTTGTCCTATTTAATCGGCAGCAACCTCGTGAGGTAGGCATGGCAGGGATCAGTATTTTACCCAAAGAGATCTTCCCAACCTCAGCCACCTCCTTTGTATTCCCAGCCCAGCCTGGGGCCCAGCCCAGGGCCCAGCCCAGAGAAGGGGTTCAGGAAACACTTTCTGGGATGCACGAACAAACTTGCTACATTGGAAGAGGAAAGAGGACTGCAAATGCCTAGGAGTGCAGCCAGACAGAGAGGCATGAGCTAGAATCCAACCTAAAGGACCAGCTGGAAAGGGTGTGGCATCAGCCTCGCCTCAGGCTGCTACATCATCACTAACTGCTGGACTTCTAAGAAACGTTGAACAACTGTGGGAAACACTCAAAATATGATGCAAGTGAAAAAAGTAAGATACAAACGAATGCACTATGATCTTTATTTTACATTTATGAAGAGAAAAGAGACTAAATGTGTAACATCTGCTACCACTATTGCTAGGTCCTGGAACTAGAGGTGATTATTTTTTAATTTATGTATTTTCATATTTTCCAAATAAGATTATTTTTTTTAAAAAAAGGAGATAAGACAGCCTTTGCAGCCAGCCTGGCCTGGGTTTACCTACCGGTTTGTCATTTACTAGTGCTGTAACCCTTGAGCAAATCATCAAATTCTTCTGAGCCTGTCTCCTTGCTGAGGAAATGGGGTTAATCCTACCTGGGCACATTGTTACCATAAGGATTCACACACAGGTGGTGAGTGTGTGAACATCAGCATGGCATCCACAGCCAGGCAGGCCCTTGATAAAGGCTTCTTTCCACTCCATCACGTTTTCTCATGAAAGACGAACCCAGGACAGAGCTGTGGCTATGGAAGGCTCTAAGGATCTAGGTCCTTTTTACTCTGGCATCCCACCTCTAGGAGACAAGGAGGCTGGCTGGGCCAACTTGTCACTTTTCTGCCTGGTCTAGGCTGGCTCTGCCTCCCCTGCCCTCCTGCCAGTACCCTCTCTGTCCAATGCCCAGAGACCTGCTCACCTGTTTGAATGTGGCTTCCACCAGGTTGGCTGGGAACATGTTCCTAGGAAGGAATTCAGCACTTGAAGAATTCCAGAGTCAGGCCAGGGTCCCTGGGGTCATCGGAACCTCTCCCTTGAGAGCTGAGGGCCTCCATGAGCCAGCTCCTCCCTCTGCATGCTCATCTGCCCCCCAATACTACTGGTCCCACCCAGATCTTCCAGCTCCCTAGCTATGCCCTGTGTGCCCTTACAGCTCCAGGTCATCTTCCATACCCTCCCTCTGCCCAGAATGACTGCATCTTACTCTAGTCAGTCCTGGGTCAAGCACTACTTTCTGAGTTCAGCCCTGTCTGATCAACCAGGCAGACCCACGGCCCTTCTGAGTGCATCTCCACTCCACAATGTGGCACATCGCTGGCCAGTGCATCCGCCTCCTCCGTACAGTGAGTGGCCTCTTTGAAGGTGAGACTGGTTATTCAGATCCTGTCTGTGGGAGCCATGTGTGTGGGTCACTGCAGTGATCCCTTGGTATGGGGACTGGTCCCAGGACCCCACAGATACCAAAATCCAAAAATGCACAAGTCTCTTATAAAAACTGGCATAGAATTTGCATATAACATACACATGTCATCTTTACATTCCTTATAACACTTAGTGCAATGTAAATGTGAAATAAAAGTTGTTCTATTGCTTAGGAGACAACAAAAGGGCAAGGAAAAAAATCTGTACACGTTCCGTATAGATGCAATTTTTCCCTCCAAATCTTTTTCAATCGATAGTTAGTTGAATTCACAAATATAGAACCCATGGATCCAGAGGGCTGACTGTACTTTCTTAATATTTTATTGTAAAGCTAAAGGTGGAGGAGGTCTTGCCTACCAGATTTGAAAACATATAAAAATGTGACTGTCAAAACAAGGTAATTACCAACACAACCTCAATAGAATAACAAACATCGCAGAACCTGTGGCTTAGAAACAGAACCTTGTACATCCTAGAATTCCATATTTGATAGAAGCTGCATTACAAATCAGTGATGAACTGAAGAACTTATCATATGGTCTTGTACAGCTGACCAACTATTTAGAAAATAAATATTAGCTCCTTATTTAACACCTCGGACCAAAATAAATTCCAGACAGTTTTAAGAAATAACTTTAAAAAACTAAAACCATAAAAGTTAGAAGAAATATAGGCCAACATTTTATCATCTCTCAGAATATGGAAGGACTCTCTAAGAACAAAATGGGCCAAAAAATCAATTGATTTTAATATAATAAATATGATACAATAAAATATGAAATTTCTAAGTGCAATATGGCATCCTCAGTTGGATCCTGGGACAAGAAGAAAGGACATTAGTGGAAAAACTGGTGAAATTCAAATGAGGTCTATAAATTATTATAATTATTATTATTTTTGTACCAGGAATTGAACTCATGACCTCAGGCTTGCCAGGCAAGCTCTAATGCCGTTGAGCTATATCCCCAGCCCGGTCTATAAATTATTTATCAGGGTTGTAACCAAGTTAATCTCTTAGTTTGACAAAAGTACTATAGTTATATAAAACATTAACATCTGGAGAAAGCCAGGTAAGGGCGTATGGAATCTGTTCTTTACAATTTTCTGTAAACTTAAAAATATGCCAGAATAAAAAGTGAAAAAGAAGGAGGAGGAGCAGGAGGAGGAGGAGAAGAGGGAGAAGGAGAAAGAGAAGGAGAAAGAGAAGGAGAAGGAGAAGGAGAAAGAGAAGGAGAAAGAGAAGAAGGAGAAGGAGCAGGAGGAGGAGGAGAAGGAGAAGGAGCAGTTCTCTAAGATGGATTATAATACAAATGAAGTTATAAGGCAAATGATAAACCAGAAGACTAAAGAGCCAAGTGTTATGTCCTAGATCTATAAAGGGCTTTTACACATCTTGTCCTGGTTTCCATGGCCACCATATGCCTCCTCTCACCAGAGTATCAGCTCTTTGCAGGGCAGAGACTTCTGTTTTGTGCCCCGCTGTGTCCCTAGCCCTGGCACACACAGGCACACAGAAAATGCTTGCTGCATGAACAGGTGGACAATAGAAACAGTACGTCTCCAATAGGAAAATAACCAGAAGATCTGCCCAGGCAATCCACTGCACAAATGGGAAGTGAGGGGCCAAAGGGGCATTTAAAATGGTTCGGTGTTTTCAATCTATTTCACCTGTGAGAGAGTACAGATGTGGGGGAGTCTGGGGAGAGAGGCGGGTCTGGCAGATACTTTTCTGTAAAGCAGTTTCATGTCGAGTCTTAAAAAGCATTTCTATGCTTGTCCTTATAATCCCCTTCCAGGAATTGATTTGAAATCAGAGATGTGAACAAGATTCTTGTTCTTGTGCTTGCACTTGCTGGAACAAGCCTTGTGCAACACACTCCCATGCTGCCTCCTGACTGGCTCCCCCTCCCCTCGCTCTTGTTCTTGGCAAGTCTTGCCTCTTCCAAGACTCAGCTCCCGTGGGCCAGGGGTTACGCACGTGGACATGAGTGTGCATTGTTTCTTACACTGACTTCCCAGCATCCTTGGCTGGAAGCAGAAACTAATTTTTTTTTTTTTTTTTTTGCCGCAGCTGAGAGTTAGGTTCAGTGTATGCAGATGGCAGGGGGAAGCAGGCTAAGAGGGGCCGCCGAGGCACAAGGCTGGTCAGGCCTATCTCCCTTTACCAGGAATGTCATTCACCATGCAGAGAAGCAGCAGAAGTCAGAAGCTGGGATGGCAGAAGCTTAAATAAGACTTTTTCCCCGTGAATTATAAACAGAGTTCTGCCATCAGAATGAGAACTGTCTGCAGGGACTTCAGATACCAAGCAGACCTGCAGCCCAGAGCCAACATTCGTGCCAGAGGCTCCGGGCCCACCTGCCTGGGGCATTGCCTACCACCTGGAGGCTGTCCAGGCAGCGCTGACTGATTGTTAAATACTTTGAGAATCTCTAGGCATGACCCCAGGAATTCAAGTGATGTACAAAGTGGTTTTCTAATGAAACTTAAAGAGACATCTATCTGCTTAAGATTATTTGAAAGATCATAAGAAACCAAGTAGAACTTATACCTAGTTTCTTTACCACTTCCTTTAACATTAGGATAACTTAAAATGTGGGCTGTGGCAGGGCCTAGTTGCCTACCTGACCTCCATCCTCTCCTCCTTCCTTATTAAGAGAAGCTCTGTTGTGTTATGGGGACCAACGGGGCTCTCCAGACAAACCCTGACTCCCAGCCTCTCTTGCTTCAGTGCGCTGGCCACCGAGATGTAAGCACAAGTCATTAGATGCCACCACTGGAGTGCTGATGGTTCCGGCCAGCGCCTTTGGTACTTTCCTCCAACATTTTTCTTGCTATCTAGAAATGCAGATGTAAGAACTAGAGTCCACACAATCTTCTCGATGCTAACCATGGCGGAGCACAAGGGGGCCAGAGAATGAGCTCCTAGCGACCAGGACTTGCCCACCCCACAACCACTTATGCAGAAGAAAACACATTTTTGCCTCTCCTAAGCCTCTGCTGTTCTAGGTTTCTCTTAATTAGCAGCCCAGAGTGCAACTTTTTTTGTTTTGTTTTGTTTTTTTGGCTTTGAACACCCATGGCAAAGCTTCCTGTTTGTTCCATGGGCCCTGTGCTCCTGGCAGCAGCTATGTGAAATACAGACAGAACTGTACCTGGAGACATTAACAGCCGTGCCTAGGAAATACCCACATGTTCTGCCAGGGCCTGCTGGACACTTCTGTGAGCAGGGCCAGGGCCACCACTAGGTTTCCCTCCTGATTTATTATTTATTTATAAGTTCTCCTGCTGCGGTCCCAAACTCACCTCAATCACATGTCACCAACCCAAGTCCCAAGGTGAGGATGGTTCCTTGTGTAACGCAGCTCTTCAGAGCTCCATCCTGCCCCCAAGATGGTAACTGGTTTTTTGTTTTTGTTTTTTTTGGTGCAGGAAATTGAACTCAGGACCTTGCGCTTGCCAGGCAGGCGCTTATGCCACTGAGCTATATCCCCAGCCCCCCGAGATGGTAATTGGGGAGACAGAGCCAAGCCATTACTTAATCTTTTTAGTGTTTTAATAAGATTGGAAAAAGAAGAAGGGGCCTCTCTGCTTAGGGATCTGTTGGTTTTGCCTGTGAGCTGCACTGGGAATGCTGGGAAGTTTTCTGAAGTCCCCACATGGAGCCCTGGGTTGTGGTGCGTCATCCAGACACACAGCTTGCTGTGCCCTCTGGAATCATCTTTGAGACTTGGACACATATCTTTGCACCCCTGAGATGAGCCGGGGGACGTATTTCCCTTACTTCCTTTGTCTCTCTGGCTTGTCCTTTGTCACATCTGCCCACATCTCCTTATTGCCCATGTTCCCATTTTGTGCACACCTCCGCAAAGCAGCAGGAGTAGCTGTCCCACAGGCCCTTCTCGTCTGTCTATCCTAACATGGCCCTGATGCGTGGACTTGGATTTGTTCGTCCAGCTCCTGGCACAAGGCTTTTACCAGCACAGGTACTCAAGATGGGCTTCGGGGGCTGGGGATTTAGCTCAGCGGCAAAAGCGCCTGCCTGGCATGTGCAAGGTCATGAGTTCGGTTCCCGGTACAGGAGAAAAACCAAAAAAAAAAAAAAAAAAAAAAGATGGGCTCAGTGGAGCAGAGTGACCACACTGTCTCCCAGGGGTCCCCAGGCCACCAGCCACATCCTGTCCACTGTCCTCTGCTCCAATCTGTCCTTCCCAAGGGCAGCCTTTCTAACACCTAACAGCTCCCCCTCACACCGCAGTCACAGACCGTCACGTGGAACCTGTCTCCGAGGGTTCTGCCCGTGCCCTGCAGCCTCCTCCCTGGCTTGCGGCCTTTGTGTGGAACCACAGAGCTGGAAGGAACTTGAACATCACTGGGAAACTGAGCCTTGGAGAGCGGTCCTGAGCCGCACAGTAGCTGACAACTGGCAGAGCTGAGAAGAGGCTGCAGCTGTCTCCAGGTTCTGGTCCCTGCCCCCGGCAGCCCCACTTTCTGCCCACGAAATGGTGACAGTGGTGCCCAACCACCCGCTGTGCAAAAGCCTCAAAGCAGAAGGATCAGTTTTCACCACGTGAGAAGCAGCTGGGAGCAGGAAGCGCTGTGGAACATCTGACTGCGACACGTGCGTCCACGCAGGCCCCGGAGTGGGGGAGGCGGGGCTCCCGGAGGACCTATTGCTCCTCCACCGCTCGGAAAGACTGTTTTGAATCCTATAATCCAAGAAATGATGAATCATAGGCACCGAATCCTAGAAATAATAGATCTTAGACATGAGGCCCCTCGAGGTTCCTCGTGCCTTGGGTTCGAGGACACCTGCTCTTCTGCTTCTGCTCCTGCCCCCTCTCACTGCAAGCACCACACAGCCTCCAGGGTGGCTGGGGACTGAGGCTCACCCTCAGCTGCTGTGCCCTGCACACAGGCATCCAGCTCCTCCTGGGGTTTTGACCCCTGCTCCACGGGTGGCCCTGTGTCCCACACCTGCTCTTTACCACATGCTGTCCCACGCTCCAGGGCTGGAGCAGGGAACAGACTTGGAAAGGCCTGGGCCCCAGGGCCATGTAACTACGCATTCCAGCAGAGGTAACGGGAAGAGATCTAGTGTCAGTAGTAACGACAGCTATTTGGAAAAGCAAAGCAAAAGAAGGTAATAGAGAGTGACAGAGTGAAGGTGACCCTGCGCAGAGACATAAATGAAGTGAGGGGAGGAGCCACCGCCCCCCCAGGAAAGGCCACCAGAAAAGGCCACCTGATGCCTGGCGATGGCACCAGGGCAGCACAATGCTTGATGGACCTGGGCAGCGTAGTGAGGCCAGCAATGTGGGAGGGAGACAGGGAAGGGGGAGTGGGTCGGAGGTCAGGGACCTAAGGGTCCTGGGGGGGGTCCTAAGGGACCGCACTGGGGGCAGGGGTGGGCTCAGAAGGGGCTGTAAGCCAGAACAATACCCATGGGTGGGGATGGGTTGTGAGCATCCTGGTGGCATCTGTGCCAAGGGCACTGCAGGATGCAGAGGGAAAGCAGGGCAGTCCAGGCAGACCCCAAGGGGCAGGTGACAGTGGGTGTGGCAATGAAGAAACAGAAAAGCCACAATGTGGAGCAGCATTCTGAGAACTGGATGTGGATTATAAGAGCTGCTGAGCAAGGGGGCAGGACTCTGAAAAGGCAAATTTATGGGGGAAAATGAAGTGTTTTGCTTGGTCATGTTAACTTTCAGTTACCTTCAGGCAGCTGTGTATAGCGTTCAGGGCTCAGATAAGAAGGCCCTGGTTGGACGCCAGACCCGGGCAGGCCAGTGTTCAGAGGCATTCCTTGGGACCAAGTGTTGCCAGTCCTATAGACACAGCAGACCCTGCCTGGACCTCTCTGGCTCTAGACCCTGAAGTGAGAACCGTGCAGGAGGCACAAGGTCGCAGGCATTCTTTTGGTCCTTACAACAGGACAGGAGCTGGAGATGTTCCTGGGGGAAACGGAAGTAGGGGGGGTGGGCTGGCTGCATTGATAGTTGCAATTAATGGACTCCTTTTGCCTTCTGACACCAAGGGCACCTGCCAACCTGCTCTGGTCAACAAGATTTTAGTGGACTTGCTGAAAGCAGAGATTTGAAAAGCATTCATATGTTTCCATTTCCTCTCCTGGCAAGTGCTCCCCTGGAATCCTGTTGCCACAGTAAATAAAACCAGGCTGGCCTGCTGCAGTGTAAAGACCCCAGGGAGCCCGACTGGACATTCTCACCCAGGCCATCCTAGACCAGCTGTTCCTCAGCAGGTCCATCAGCCTCCTACAGACCTTGAGCATGCACAGGCCTACTCAGCAGAACTTCCAGCTAACTGCAGACTCCTGCAGGTCATTTCAAGCCTTTAAGCATTGGGTGGTTTGTTACACAGCAGTAACTGACTGCCACAGGGGGAACAGTTTCTTTAGAGAGAGAGAGAAGACATGTGGTTTGTCTCTATCCCCATGGGGGAGAGAGAGGAATGCTTCTTCATAACACTAAGTCAGGAGAACTACTTAGAGATCTCAGCTTGTGTCCCCTAGGATTTGAGGAAGTAGAGGTTAGTGCTTGATTCATGGCCAAAGGCCCTGGGAAAGGCCTCCATGTCAGCAAGACTATGTATACTTTCCCATGGGCTAGACAGAAGTCCACAGTGCTTTCCTGGGGAGGACGGCTTGGGTCTCTGGAACACGGTTAGCAGAGCTGATATGGCTAAGGTGCTGGCACCCCAGAGTGCTGTCCTGGAAGTTAGGCAATCTGCACAGAGCTGCACTGCCTACATGCTGGGTTACCCTGGAAACTTCACATCACCTTCTTGAGCCTCGTTCCCCCATCTGTGAAAAGGGGGTCAGTATAGAAGGGAAGGCGACTCATAACTGCTGGCCTTCCCACCTCATGGGCTGGGTGCCCAGAGCTGCTCACTGGCCTGTTTGGGCAGAGGAACAGACCCTGCCCCACCCGCAGGTCCTGGCAGCCTGATGATGCAGAGGGATCCCACAGGGAGCATCGGTACTGGGGTCAGAGACCCATTTGTCATTGACTTCAGGGCACCAGGTGACCATGGGCTCTGCACAGGCTCCGTGCCTGTGCCTTTACCAAAGCAATCAAGGGGAGCCTCAGCCCACCCACGCCCTGCCTCTGGAGGCCACGCAGGGCGCCTGGCCCGGTGTGTGCTCCCCACCAGGTATGGGTGGCAAGTTACCGGATGAGGTCCAGAAGGGCGTCGGCTGAGCTCATGACCGGCTTCCCGCTCTGCTCTGTCGTCTCCTTCTGGGCTGCGCCCCCCGGGTGGATGATGGAGACCATGACGATGCCCACAACGACGGCCAGGAAAGTGGTCCACAAGTAGTAAGCCACAGTGAGGATGCCCAGGCGGCTGGAGGTCTTGGCATCCAGGGAGGCGAGACCGGACATCAGGCTGGCAGATTGAGATGGGTCAGAGGCTGTGGGGGGCACCAGACCTTGGCCGGGCACTCAGGCTGGGCCGCTCCAGCCCCTTCCCAGCCGTGCCCAGCGTCCACTCATGCCCCAGGGATCCCTCTCAGTTCTGGGCTCCTTCTGGCTTCTCTTTTGACTCCCAGGGCAAGGGTCACCGGCCACAGCTCTAGCCTCTGCTGTTCCCTCCCAGGCGCTCCCTGCTCCCTTCCGTGAAGAAGCCTTCCTCACTCGTCTGACTCTCATGCACCAGCCCAGGCATAGGCCTCCTGTCAGTGGAGTCTTTCCGGACTATCTGCCTCTTCCCCAGAGATAGGAGCCCGTTCTGGAGCTCCCCCAGCAAAGTCTCTTCCATCATGACCCTATTATCACTGCCTGTCCTCTGTCACCGGATTGAGTGCAGGTGAGAGGAGGGGCAGGTCTGGCCTTTCCGAGGGTCCCCAGTCTCCAGCCTGGGCTTACTCAGAGCCGGTGGCTCTTCATGCAATCGATAGCCTGGGGCCTAGCTGTATCCCAGCCGGGTTCTGCCAACTGTCTGAAAGCCTGTCCCGTGGCCTCCCTCTCCAAAAGGGGGCCTGCAAGGAGCCGCTCCCGAGAGGAGCCACCCCAGCGCCATCTTGGCTTAGTGCTTGGTTCCAGACTCCCTCCCCTGGCTCTCAGGCCTCCCTGGCCGCCCTGGCTAGTGTGCTAGGGCTGCTGCGGGGTGCTCAGGGGGAGTGGGGGAAGGGGCTGGTAGGAGATTAAGGAAATGCTTGTGCTTTGTTTTGCTGCCAAAAGGATTTTTCCCCAAAGCCCTTTCATTCTTTCCGATAAAGAAAGTGTTTGTCTGGTTTTAATCATGTAAACAAGAGCAGATAATCCTCCACCAGCGCTCTTCTTAGCATCTCACCTCACCCACAGCACCCAGTGCCAGCCTGCCAGGCCCGGTGGGTGCAGCTACCCCAGTCCCCTCCCAGCACAGCCCTGCCACACCCCACCATCACCCAAGGGCTGGCCTGCCCTTAGCGCCCGGGCCCCCTCCCTTTTCTGGGCTCCGACAGTCTCTGCCCCACCTCACTGAGTTCCTGTTTCCTGGAAGCACTTTCTGGGCTAGACCCAGCTCCACGATGGGTTCATAGAGCTGGCCTGGGCCCAGCCCAGAGCCTGGCTTGATAGCAGGTTGCTGAATGAGTGAGTGAGTGAATGAATGAAGGAATAAATGAATGAGTCAGTTCATAGTCTGCATCGTCCTCTGCCAGGATGCCATCTGTTAGTGATGGGCTTAGGATGGGTCTCAGATGTAAATCCCGAAGGGCTCATAATGAGATTGTGCGGCCAGAGCCCGAGGGAATGGGGGCTGCAGCAGTGGGGGAAGGGTTGCTGGGCCAGTAGTCAGCCCAAAACCGAGATGTCCTCCCCTCACAGCAGGGCCGTGCTCTCAGGTCCAAGTCCAACTGCCTCAGGCCACAGGGCACCAGAGCCTGGAGAAAAGGACCCACCCAAGGTCATCCGGACACTAGTGCCCCAGGGGGCCAGAATTCAGACCCCGACCTCTTTCATCCATGCCCATTCCACGCCCTGAATGAAGTCAGAACTTGTCCCTGACCTCAAGGAGTTCCTCCTACACCCGTAGTGAATAGGGAGGGAGACAAACAAGGACAGTGGGATGCAGGGATGCAACTAACCGCTGGGCAAGTGGACACATCAGCAAACCATGGAAAGGCTATCTCTACGAGCAGTGAGGGTTAGCTCCAGCTAGGACAGTCAGGAAAGGCTTCCTGGAGGAGGTGGCATGTGAGGTGACTCGCGGAAGGTGCGGTAGACTTGGACATGAGGCAGGGGGATAGCAGAAGGCAGTAGGGAGGCTGGTAGCTGGAAAGTGTGGTCAGAGCTCAGGTCAGGTTTGAAGTACGGTAATAGGACAGAAAAGACAGCTTGAGCCCAGGAGTGGAGTGGCCTGGAATACCAGGCCAGGAGGACCAGGGGAGCCCCCCAGGGTGCACACAGCGGGTAGAACAAGGGCCTGGCAGTGCTTCTGCGTAACTCAACTAGCAGAAACTGCTAGATATCTGAGAAAGAAGAGCTAAAGATCCTGCAGTTTTGAGGATATTAAAGTGAACAAAGTAGTCTTCATAAGAGCAAAAACCCAAGACCTTAGACAAAAAGTACCACATGTCCATAAGCCAGAGTTCCAATGACGGTTATAAGAGTGGCATTGCTGGGGAGATGCTCCTTGTTGAACACGAAGTGGAAAAGCAATGACTAGCTAAGCTGCGGCCCTGCAGGGAGCCTCAGAGCCTCCTGGGAAAGAGACACCTCTGCGACCTGCCCTCCAGACATACAGAGATGGGCCTGGGGTTTGCACAGGATGGGGACACAGTTGAAAACCAGATTCCAAGAGGGGGCAAAGAACTCCTGGGGAAGGTGAGGCCTAGCACAGGAGATTGCCGGCTCAGGGACACCCACACGTGGGAGGGAGACTGGAAGGCTCCAGATGGGACAAGGGGCTCAGGCAGTGCTGCATCACCTTTGCCCTGGACAACAGAGGACTGACGGGAGGAGTCCCATCACCGGCCTCACGAACTTCTGCTTCTGCTCTCGACCCTCCCTCCCTTACCCAAATGGTTTAGTGGATGGGAGGCAGGCGGGGTGGGTGTGCTGCAGTGTGGGTATGGGCAGTGCCAGGGTGACCGCCAGCCATGACAACAGCCAAGACTTGGGAGAAGGATGAGGAGGGCACAGGTCTCAGGAGACAGTGCTCCTCCTGGAACTCACAGCAATTGGAAAGGAGGTTGAAGGTTCTGCCTTAGGTCTTGGGGGCGTGGGGGCGGGAGTGTGGGGGCTGTTCCTGAGGTCCAGACTTTAGAGCCAAGCTGTCAAAGTGAATTTTCTGAGAACCTGTGAGTTGGGGCAGGGTGGTGGCTGGGCGAGCGTTCGACCACGTGAACACGCACACGTGTGCACACACATGAGCAAAACTTGAGGCAGAAAGGTTAACAGTAGCTTTCTTTGCATGGTGGGATGATGGGTCTTTTGTGTTTTGTTTTTCCTCTCTCTCCATGTCCTCTATAATTTCTAAAATGGGTGCAGGAGCACCTCACAGCCACAGAAACTGTGATTTGCCTGGAGTTTACTGTTCTCAAACACCCGAACACCTACCTCATTCAATCCTTCACCTTCTAAGTCAGTGCTACGGTATAGAACCACCGTGCCAGCTATATTTGTCGTTTACCTTTTCTTTTCAGCTTTTGTGGTGCTGAAGATTGAATGCAGGGACTTTGCAAAATAATTTTTTGTGATATTAATTTTAATAATACCTTCACCCAGTATACCCAAAACATTACCATTTCACTGTATCAATATAAAAATGTTTTATACTGCTCAGGTTGTAAATGTTAAGTAAAATTAAATGAAGTTTAAACTTCAGTCCCTCAGCTATACCAGCCGAAATTCTAGGACTCAGCAGCCACTTCTGACTGGTGGCCGTGGTCTTGGGGGCCTGTGTCCGAGTTACAGCAAAGGAATCAGAGGTCTGGGAGGCGGAGACAACGCTGTGTCTATACAGTCAGCACAGCAATGGCTTTTCCCTTTCTCCCGCAGTCCTTCTGAGAGGTGTAGACCTAGCTTAACTCCTGGGGAGAGAAATGGGTCTCCTGGTTTGGGTCGACCATGACTACATTTTGATCTAGTCCATGTAATGTTTTTGAGCTCCGCTCTGACAATTCATTACCTGCCACAGATGCAGGCGTCAGATGTGTGGTGGTGAACTCCCTGTTTCAGGAAGTATCCAAGTGCAGCCTGGATAGCCACCTGTTGGGATGGAGACTAAAGCTTCCAGACAGAGTAGGAGGTCTCCTGGGTCTTGCCTCAGATTTCCTTCTGGCTCTGTGATTTATGGTGGGGGACCTCAGGCAATCTTGCCTCTCCCACTCCAAGCATGGCTGGGTGCTCCTTGGAGGCCTGAGGTCCCTGAGGGCTGCAGGAAAGCGCTCCAGGAGCCCAGGGCCGGGGAACTCCTCCCAAGCCATCTGGCCACCACACAGCACCCAGGGATTGGGGATCAGGAGATTGCAGTGATTACAGACATTAACCGCAGAGGCAGTGGGGAGCTGGCCACGCTCCCAGCACCCAGGCTGCTCCAATCTGGTAATTGTTCCACTTGCAAGCAGGGGTTGGGGAAGGGAGGCAGCGGCTGCCCAGATCCTGGTAGAGGGAGAAAAAGCTCCCCGACCACCTCAGGGCCACTGGTCTGTCCTCCAACCCTGCTCCAGCCATCCAGTAACCCTGTTCCCTGTTGCTGCTTCTGCCTGTAGTTACTGCCCATCCCATCTCCCCAGACCAACGCACTTCACTGCCTTCCTTGTCCAAGGCCGGTGGAGACAGCCCTTCTTCCGGGAGGCCTTTCCTGACTGCCACCTCTCCGCCACCACCTGCCCCTACCACGGGCACTGTGTGCATCCCAGTTTGTTACAGGGCCCTGTGGCAGCTAGCTTGCCTGAATCCCCAGGGTTTGCCTGGTGTGGCATGAGACAGGCTGGCAGGGGGGCAGTGTGGAGTGAAGCAGGCTGACGGCTGGGACCTGATCCCCTGGTCCCCTTGTCTTGTCTCCCGGCTCCTGAGCCCTCAGCTAGACCGAGAAGTTCCTGTGGGGATGCCTCACTACCCGGGAGCCTGAAGGCAAGTTACCAAGCCTTGATGGTACCTCAGTTTTCAGTGAGAATAAGTGGGATAAGGGTGGTTTATCATGACAGCTACTCCTGGTGTCAAATCCTGCACATATAGTAAGTACACAACGTGCTTCAGTTGCGAGTGTTCCCTTTGTGTTGTCAATGTTTTGTGACTGCCAGCCACTGCAGATTGGGTGCTCCCCCAGGGCAGGGCTGAATCTAGCCCAGCTCTAGGTGTTCAGAACCCAGGGCCTGGCTTATGCCTGGGCACAGGTTTACAAGTGTGTGGGTGATATTAAACCAAGGATGCATCCGACTGTTAAGAGACTGGCTTGTG